AACTATGTATCTACAACCTTTCCAACATGAGAATTGGCCCTGGTGAACCCCAACACACAGTGAAGCATTTCATTATAACACTAATCTAAAGTGAGCATTTTTATAAATCATTTGAATCTTCACATCTATCCATCACTATCTATAATGATGTATCCAATGCAGCATTACGGTGAGCTTTGACCCTATCGAGAGAAGCACAGAGCTCTCTATGTAGGATGCCAGTCCATCGTTAAATCATATATATTGTTTTGTTACACAGCTATATGCTTGAAAATGAGAAACACAAGTTCAATTAGTAGGATATGAGTTTCAATGATTTGCAAATAAACTTTACGATAACATTGTGTCAAGATTTATATATATCAGAAATCTGTTTTACGACTGTTTATACTGCTAAAGGTAGAACACAAATTTAAAATAAAATATCACCCCCAAAGACCACCCAGACATCCTCAAACAGTTCTCTCCCACCATCTGCTGGTTAAACCTAAACCTCTGTACTGTACCACTTTACTTAAAGAGACACACCTAGATAAATGTTACATGGAAACAGCACTTGCATTTAAATCTTCAGTTTGATATTCAGTGTTTGTATATACACCAAAAACAGCAATAAACACTCTAATGCCTTCTTCTGTGAATCATATTATTCTGCATGGATATTTTAAACACATCAAGGTTATGAAAATAAGCTTCAAATATTCTCTAAGAAATAGAATAATTGGATTATCTTTAAGCATTAATCTTACAAAGCACATTATTTAGTTATTTCTTTATAATATTAATCAAAACATCTCAGCATGTTCGAAGTAGCATATAAATAATATCTTGAAAAATTTCAAAAGTTTGCCTTCAAGTTACAGATCAAACACTGCTGAAAATCCACATTTTTCTTGTAGCTTAGTGTATTCAACTTGGATTACACGCAGAACACAATAATGAGATGAAATCAGTATTACATAGACTATTTCATCATGCTTTATAATAGGAGTCACATTGTTTATGTAGGAGTGCGGGTCATTATCCGCTTGAAGTGTATATCGCCACCTTCTGGATGAACGCAAAACAATCCAAAGTTCAAACCCATTGATCCACACCGATTATACTGATTTCCCCTTATAACAATTTGAAGAGCACTGTTCAATAGATCGCAAGGAATAACGATACCTTTATGAAAGAAAAAAGGTCTGACATCATCAAATATGCTACCCAAATATATAAATAGGACTCTGAATTATGCAGTTCCCAATGAGCACAAATCTCACTGGTGTCAAAATATCAAATCCAGTTAATAATGATGGACATAGTGATACATGTGCCATACTATGGACAATTTGTATAAATACAAGTGTCGGTACACAGAAATTCTTTAGGTTTTTATATATGTCGTCTGGATGTGCTGTAAGACGGACAAAGAGAGGCACCGTAAAGGCACTGAAGTTACACTTTTTTAGGCTGCGCTGTCACGCAGGGGCACCATAAAGGGAGGGGTGGTAGAAGGAGTTAGGATGATTCCAAGGGCCCCAGAATGACAGGGGCCCTAAAAAAACTGGAGCATAACTGGATTGGTTTAGGTTGGGGATTCAATATGACAAGCTTTCATGGGGCCTGAAATACCCCTGCTGATATACACAGGTGAGATTGAAGCTTGAGGGGGGGGTAAGGACCTCAAGGGCCCCACAGTGATATGATTACGCTACCAGCCACAGGATTCAAACAGACAACATTCCGGTCATGGTCACCAATCATATACTAACGTGTTTTGTTATTAGAAAGAAAAGAAACTCATGTGTATATATTAATGACAAAAATGAATGGCCGCTTCAATTATTCGCAGTCATGTGACAGTGAATCAGCATGTTCCGCTGATACACCTGGTTATATGGTTATACAAATGAAAGTCTGAATCATAGAGGCCTACCTCCTAATTCTGCATTATTCCTGCATGATGCTTCCTTGGATGACTAGATCCCAGAGGACTTCCAACAGTGACAACTATGTAAAACACGAGTCGCGTGACCTTTTGAAAGGTTCCGTGAGATTCAAGTGTGCATGGCGCATTTTAGCATCTGGGTGTAAGGAGGCAATGGGAGAAAGCTCAGGGGTGAGTTTCCCGAAGCCTTCTTAACGATACGTCGTTCGTTAGTTCTATCTTTTAACACAGAACTTAAGAACAACGTAGCGTTAAGAACGCTTCGGGAAACTCACCCCAGGTCTGTTAGGCTCAGCACTAAAGTTAGAAATTCGCTATTCTAAAATTGAACATGTTGGTGCATGTCTGTTTGATGCATGTTGGTACCGTATGCTTTATAACTAGGACATATATATAGGCATAAACTTCTTGAGTTTAGTTATTTTTTCTCTGACTATTAATTGGATATTAGAACCTAAAACTCAGCACAATATTGAAATTTAAAAAAAAATTAACATAACTTAATGAGTGATTTTAACTTAGTTGTATCTTTCTTAAGGATATTCCTGAAATCGTGGACGCGGCAGCACGGGCGTTTTTTTCACTCTGGCTCCGTTTCGTTGCGCTAACGCCGGAGACCAGCCCCCCTCTTTACGTAAGGAAAGCGGTTTCCAAGCAGGTTTCCATGAACCTACTTCAAACAACATGGCGCCAGACTGTAGCAGCCCTGCTGTTGCCAGAGCCGATATACTTTTTTAAGAAATATGGATTCACATTTTTAACAGCCTTAAGTCGCCTGTTTGGCTTCTAATTTTTGCCTGCATATTTTTTCCTTTGATGGGTATGTGCCTTATTTGATTGTCCAAGTTCTTATCTGACTGCAGCATCAGTTATGATTTGAGGTGGCAACTGAGGAGAAGTCACCTGTTCTGTAAAATTAATCCGACTCTTGGGACTTCGCGCATCCGAAAGCGGCGCACTTATTGACTGCGCACTATAAGAAAGGGATTGGGGGCAGCAGCACGCGGCTTCGCGCGCCGCTTCGGGGTTCATGCTGCGCTTAGGCATGTCCCCTGAGACTGTAGCTGAACCAAGTCATTTGTTTTTCCAAGAGTGCAGAAATAAAACGCAATATGAATGAAAGTATTCCGTCTTCGCTTTGTCCGGATGAAAAGGAGAGGGAAAGGCTGCCCCCGATACTGAATCATCCACCGTCTGTAAGTAATAACGTCGATCTTGGAGATATTTCCATTTTGAAGTAACTTGTTGCATTAAAATAAACAAATCTGTTTGATTGAATTCTGAAGAGAAAGGATTCTTTTCATCCCTTGAACGTAAACAGCATGTAATGTTTTTAAGCAAACTTCATTGGTTTAACAACAGGCGCATAAATATAGTCGCGATTATAATTGACATTTCTTATTCTCGTTTAACAATATAATTCACCACATAAAATTAATATTAATTATATACTAAAATTCGAGTTGTCCTATTTCTATGATTACTCCAGCTGACGACTCGGTAACTATTGTAAATTTTGGCAGTGATTTTTGTGCATTTAGTTTCACTCTGTTGATTATTAAAAGTTAGTGCTTGTACTTTCGGTTATGCATTACGGATAATGATTCATCAAACATTAACATGCACCGTTATCATGTCAGCTAAAGTTTAAACAACAGGGCGGGATCCTTTGGACCACTATTTACTTCCCAGCATGTTATGCAACAGAAATTTCGCTGTAGCGAACACTACGCTTGGATTAGTGATTTTATTATAATACGATGATGCACGGATCCTAATAACATTACCCAGAAGTTACAAGTACCGTCCGAGCGATAAAAAAACGGTTGCAGACGTGTTGTTCCTTATAGAAAAATGAATCTTGACATCAGTATTTATGCACTACCGTTTTGTGGGTAATTTCCCTCTTTCATCTTAATAGCGAATATGAAATAAAATATGCTAAAACAGTCATTTAGAAGTTGTAAAAAGTCAACAATTACAGGCTCGGTTCGATATGCAATTGCGGAGTATCTTATTATTTTGTTTAATATGTGGCTACTGCACGCATAGAAATTATATGATGCATTTAGTGTGGAATTATACGGTCTTTAATCTTCCATCAGTAATTACACCCCGGCTTTTTTCGCTTACTGTCTTTAGCCACTTAGGTCCAGCTGGCCCGTGATATTGCTGCAACGTCACCATATGTTTTATATTACATTACATTCAAAAGGACGTTCAGATGAAACGGGCATAAACACATTCATTAATATATATATATATATAATTAATTACCAAAACAACTAATAGTGCAGACACACAAACATATCTCATCCTGGGATTCAAACTTTTACCTTATTCTTGACCACTGTATTCGCTTGGCGAATAAACTGGTCTTAATTATATAAAGATTCTGATAAAATGTCAATCCCGTAGCTTTCAATGGAAACGGTTGTCTGTGCTGTCTCTATTATTACTTTATACAGGCCTACTATAAATATTGTGGGGGAAAAACAACAATATGGATCTAGCAGCTAACCGTGTGTGGGCTCCTAATAATCTTCAGATATGTGATTTGTTGAGATGCTGACAGGAAATTATTTTAAAGATGGCGGATGATTAAACTGTCCCCAAGGTGAAAAATCGCTTATCTTTAACTGTAACACTTAACAGTTTTAAACCATTCTTCGGTAACTCTGTTTTGATCTACTTATCAGTATGTGTTTTACGGTTAGCACATTCATATTTGATAATAGTGAAAAGTAATATGTATATTTAAATCTATAATATCAGTTATAATATTTATTTCCCATAATAATTATTTTAAATGATACTTGCAACGTAGTTCCTTAATGGTTGCTACCATAAGGCAGAGGAGGATTGATGGTGATTTGCTTTAATCCTGCGGCTCAGTTTGAAAGAGGAAATTTTGTCATTATGTGGACAGACGCCAAACCAAATGCCCTGAGCGCTGGCCTGTGCTACGTATAATTAAACACCGCTCCTGAGCGCACTGCATGCCGGGCTTTCAGTATCCGCCGCGCTGAACAGAACGTACGGGCCGTCCTTAAACTCGCGTACAGGGTTATTGTTATTGTTGTTAGTATAAATGTTTTGCAGATTCTGCATGCATTGTAAGTTTTGTTGCATATTCAAAATATCCCTTGGAACTGACACGCATCAGCATCTGGAAGATGGATGGATGCATAGATAATCACTGCATAGAAATTCAAAATATTTACACATGAACCAAAACATAATTAAAGCTAAAATCACATGCAAAGTGCGATGCTTCAAGTTTTATTCGGCATAGTAATTTATAAATAAGTAGGCTATTCTGATCTGTTTATGTCAGATGCAGGTATAGGTAAGGCCCGCGATGAACTGCCCTCTCTTCTTGAGCGCTGCTGGCACAGTTTCTGCCTGTCGCGTTGTCACAGCCTGCTGTCGCCGTCGTTCGAAATGCCATGTGCACGTGGAGCCATCTGACGCCACGCGGGTCGGCAGAGGCGCGCTCGCTCGTGCCGCGTGTACTTCATGTCATTTCCAAAGGTAGATTTGGTATGATGCCCTACAGTAGCGTACCTTTTACCTCATTGGTGTTTTTTACATTTAAGTAAACCGAAGCCTCTCATATGTTTTCTAAGTAAAATCTTTTGAAAACTTAGTACAGTATTTTAAAATATTTACTGACTTGCTTTATTTAGCAGACGCTTTTATCCAGATCGACAAAATATGATGCAAATGGGGTATTACAAACATGCTGCTGTCAAGGGATCGACTAGGCTTAACTGCAGCTAGGCTAAGCTGCCAGTGAATGTCCGACGGGAAGGTAGCCTGCACAATATCTTTAAGACAAAGTAAGAACCTAATAAGACAAACGTTCAAATCAGAAATGCACTTCCAAGAGCATTTGAATTGAATTGAATTTGTGGACCATGGAGCGGTGTATAGATATTTTTGGAATAGATGGGTCTTTAAAATGTCATTTGACTCAAAAATGTCATTGTGTGCCACGCATATAACAATAAGTTGTTTTGAAACTTAAAAAGAATACTTACTACTTTTATTACTTATTTGGGTATATTTATGCTCTCTAGCTTTAAGTAGCTTATTTTTGCCGAAGCATGTGCTTTTTTATATATGAGAACGCATAAATATCATCTATGTGTGTATGCTTGTATTATATTCGTACCTACTGGCACACCAACAGTGTACAGCATCTTCCCCGGATGGCATCCATCACTTTAGCTGGTAATGATGACCTCACTTGTCTGTCATGTGACCTGTGCTTCCATGGCAGGGGTATGACCGTGGAGCGAAGCAGCACTTCCCTTCCTTCAGCAGCTTCATGTCCACCATGAGTCAAAAGAGGGGGGCAGCAAGCCAGAGCTTCTCCACCCAGATTCTCCTGCCCGCTGCTCGACACGGTGAGGTGCTCTCCCTAGCAGCCGGGGGGGGGAGGCAGGGAGGGGGACCATCCTGGTTGTTATTCCACAATGAGTTGACCGGGAATGGCGTGGGAAGCAGTCTCGTTTACAGGACCCATCACCTTTTAAGCGTCAGTAAATCAGTGGCATTTAAAGCAACGCTTGGATTTAAAGATTCAGACCTTCCACATGCCGTTTGGAGGTTATACGAGCGGGTCATGTGTCACCTTGCTGTCCCTCCTTTTCACACCGACAAAATGAAATAATTTATGGCCCCTGACAGAATGTCCCTTTATTTATAGCCGTCTCTGGAATTTTCTTGACAGTCATTCATATAATGTTACAGAACGTCCACCAGTGTATGCTCGAACTTTATGGAATCTTTATAGAAACATTGAAAACTTTGAAAGTCATTTTACAATTGCATTAGACCTTGCATTTTAAATAGGGTGTGACATACTTGTTTGTTAGTTAATATAGGATTTATTGATTTGTTTACATTTTAGAGTTTAGTTGTAGTTATTGAATTTTTCTTCTCTCTAGTGCATTTTAATGGATAGTATCTTATTCTGTAGGCCCTGATTTCATGCCTCTTCAGAAGGACTGTTAGAGTAGCATGCCGCTTTAGCAGAGAAGCCATTTTGAAGTCATTTTCTCCCTCAGTAGCTTTTATGTCTGTCTTGAACTGCTCTCACAGATCTAACAAAACACGTGGCCAGATTCTGTCCTCCCACAAACGGTTTGGCTTAAGCTCCAGTGACTTCATTTGAGGAACATTTTTGGTCAGTGACGAAAGGTCTTCGTTTATATTTCAAGTTAAAGGAATTCTTTGTCAGGTGTGACAGACGATCATTTTTTTTTATACAAGTCACAGCTCTCCTGTATTTTGAGCAGTTTGGATGAAAGCCTTCTTGTAATAAAACAAATACCAGCTTCTGTGTTTGTAGCATAAAAACCGAACCTGCAATTTTTACGAGATCCATAAATTACAAATATCCTCTTGGCTGAAGTTGTGTCTGTTGAAAGATATTGTCTTTCATTTTTTAACTTATTTGGACAAATACATGAAACTGTTAAGGAAATGCCATATTATATTGCAATGGAAAAAAAGGAAGAATCCTTTTTTAGAGGTTAAACAAGCAGTCCAGATTGATAATGTTGACCCTGAATATTTAAATTTAATTAGACCAAGGTATCTGTTTTTCTATTCTATGTCCAAGTAACTTCATTGAATTTCAAAGTAACCCATTTATCTGCTTTGATGTAATGAATAATGCTTCACACTTATGTGTTTTTTTTTGTTATTTTCGCTGAGATCAAAGGCACAGTCGAATGCGTAAACAATAATTAGTAAAGATGAAAGATATTGTCTCTGATGCTCACTTCTCCTTCACAGGTCGAAATAATTACATACGTCTCAAACTAACTGCGGTGTGTCGGCAACCTAATTGTTTTGAAATGCATCCTGTAAAATGTCCTCAATTAATCTTGCAAATATATGTGTACAGTGCCCTCGGGCGCTCCTTCCATCCGTGGAAAGGCTGGAAATATTATGGCTCATCGTCGCCCGAAGAATAATTTATAAATCTGACCGTGTTTGAGGTTCTGACTTCTGTGCCCTGAGTAAATGGGACAGAGCAGGAGCCTAAGCGAAAGTGATCCCCTACTTCCTAACAGAGATCAGCTGACAGCGTCCTTATCAGTGTATCCAGCTGCTGCTGGATAATGAGTCGACTGCTAATTGATAGTTAGATTGCATCGGGGACTAAGATCACCCCCCCATATGCATGTTACACCTGCTCCTTTGTGGTGTTTGGTATCCATGGCACCAGATGGAAGCAACCCCAAGCCCTGACGATTCCACATCACAATCCGAGAGCCTCCTCTAAATGACGTACGAAAAATCGGCTTCATAGTCCTAGGATTTTTATAGTCCCTGCCCTTACCTGACGCGTTTTCTTTTCGAGGACGTGCAAAATAAAATGAATTGTTTCTGAAAAACCTTGGAGTGTTTATGGGAGGTGGGGCGGTGGGAGGTGTATGAGACACAGGATGCCCAGGCAACCGCGTGAGAGGACGAATGACAAAGCAGACAGAATGCGGACAGCAGATGCCTCAGTGGCATATGGAATTAACTCGAGGAGTGTTTGGCCATGTGATTACCCAGAATTGCGGAGCTTGCTGTTATAGGTGTAAGCATCGTTTTCCATGAAGTCCGCTTTCATAATTTTCTCTCCATTCTTAAACATAGGATTGCCGCGGAATTGAGGTCTGGTTGTGAGTTATAGATTTCTTACGCATGGATTTTGATTGGTTCCTGTTTCCACCCATTGGTAGAACATCACCTGCTGATTGGTGCAAACTTGGACAGAAAAATCCCTGTGGATGGGAACTTGTTGCAAAGAGTCGGCCAGTTAATGGAATCGGTGGACTTGGGCCAACACAGGAGAATGCAGCACGTGTCTGGAGAAATTTATAGACACCCACCAAGCTGTGGAATTCAGTACCGTGAAGGTCTCTCCTGACCATTTTTGGTGCTCATAGGGTGCTTGCATATGTCTGTGTCGTACAGTTTGTCCATCTGTTAAGCCCATACTGGTAGCACTTTCTATGAATTCCATGTCTATAAGGATCTATGAACACCTTCATAACACGTTATAATGCATTCATGAAGCATTATTAACATGGTTATAAATATTTATAAATAAATGCATTATGAATACTTTTTGAAGCTCTCATCTATAATGCACTATAGATACCTTCATAATGCAGCACAAAATCTTTATGTCTATAGTGTAATATAGATGAGAGCATAATTGGAGCTTATGAAGTATTATAATCAACTCTATAGTGCCTGTGACTGTAATGACTGTCAGTAGAAGATGCTGTAATGCTTTATTAATTCTTATATGGACCATTATAGTGCATAATGCAGTAAATGCTAGTAAAGTGTTACCCCCATACCTTGTAGCCACGTCTCAGATTTCAGAAGACACTGCCCCTCTTCCCCACACACACACACACACACACACACACACACACACACCTGCTCTGCAGTGATGGTATCTTTCTCCTCAGCCAGATAAAACCATTAGAGAATCAGTGCACCTGTTGTGATTAATTCACCTGCCAAACCTTTCATGGTTACCATCCATATGCAGTCGCTGCAGGTGCTACTTGAAGCTGTGTGATCTCGGTTTGTGTACCTGCAGTGACGACAGCTTATGTGTGATCAGAGGCCAGCCGGGGAGAGGCATTTTACATGGCTCTCAGGAGCCTGGGGCATAGTTTTCAAATATGTCGTCATGTTTCAATCTGCTGCATTTGTCTGGCCATTCGGTTAGCTTTGACGCCTTGATCCCTTTTGCGTGTCTTCAAGTGAGGGAACTGCCCCCCATTTGCCTGGGCGTCCGGCAGAAGCACCGTATCTCCATCAACACACTCCCACCTGAGATGAAGGCCCCTTTCCCATCGGACCCCATCATCCCCCTGCGCACTAAAACCACCAAAGAGTTTCAGTACGTTTCTCCTCCCCCGTCGCCTTCAATGTTGAAGTAAGGCAACAGCGTAACCTTGGTGAGTTCTAAGAAAACCCATCTCCCTCCTTCACAGGGAGGACGTGGAGAGGGCCACGGCTTCGGGTGACTGGACAACTGTCCACGATTTCTACCTAACAACGTTCGACTCCTTTTTAGAACTCAATGCTGCCTTCAAGGTATGTGGAGCTCCTCTTCAATCCTTGAGCATAATCTCTGTCTTTCTGCCTATCCACCCACGCCGTGGACCTTGGAGGGCGTTTTTCTGCCTGCACCAGAATGGATGAAGTCAGTCTGAGACACAAAGCGCCTGCTTATGGTGGTTCGTGTGACACTGAAGCGAAACTCGCGCTCTGAAAGAGCCAATTGTGAAACGTCTTGGCTGAGTGACTAACATCATAGCTTTCTTGGCAGACGCCGTGGTCATTATTACTGAGCAACTTCCAGTAAACAAAGTAATACATTTTCTGTATTGTAAACCCACTCCAGGCCAATCGTAAAGCTCAAAGCACTTTCACATGCTTATTTACAGTTTATTCCCCCACGTTCTGTTTAGAGAGAAGCCAATACCCCGTTTGACACAATCGAAGATTCTGGCATCAATATCAAATTCGTCAACGCCGTTTATGATGCCTTACTCTATACAGTAAGTAAACACAATATAACAAGTAAGCACTGTGGCTGGAGAATTTCACAAGGGATCGCATGGGTTGATTGTCAACATAGAATGTTATATGGTCTTCATGCTGTTTAATTTAATTTTTAAATGCTTTTTCTAACATTAATACTGAAGCCCGCAGACATCCAGAAGTCGGTGCTGAAGGGAATAATTAACAGTTTATTAAGGGAATGGAAAGGGTGAGTAATATTCCGCTATTTCATAAACCACTTCCTAATATTATACTGGAGGGACGTTCCAATGTAGTTGCTGAGAGAAGCTGTATAAGCGGGCAGCTTGTTTAATGATTAAAACTGAGGTCGTTTTTAAACGGTGAAGAGAGCTGCCTACAGTACTGTGTGTGTTTTTAATTCAGAAATAACTTCCCGTCCACATGCTTAATTCTCTCTGTTACTAATTAAGCTCTCGCTTGTTCGCTGACATTAATGTCTCAGCTTCGTGAAAGTTCGCGAGCACGGCTGTTCGTCACCGCGACACCAGAAGGGGCTGCGTTTCTCGGCCGCCGCTGACAACGTCTGCTCACTTTCATCTGTTTGTCTTAGGCCCCGGACGAAGGACGACCTGAGGGCGTATTTCGTACTCGTTCAGGTACATCCCATAAACGACGGCAGGTCGTCCGCACACGACCTCAGCTCGGTCCAGAGCTTTCAGGATGGACAGTTTTGAGCCAAGATTTTAACGGCGTGCGGCCCTCGTTATGCCGCCGTGGAGCATTTTACATTTCCCCGAGTCATCCCAGCAATTTCCCTCTTAAAACGTAATTGAGTACCGGCACGCTAGCTTTTACGCGCTGGCTGCGCGGGGCGCGGTTTGTCACCCTGGGCGTTGTTAGTTATTCGGCTCCCCGATCCTTGGCGGCTGTAACTGGGCTTCAGCACCAGATGATAAGGCGACGGCTGGCTGAGGCACAGCTGAGTCAGAAAGACAGGAAACTGCTGGGCTGGCAGTCAGGCACCCGTGCGGAGTGGATGTAACGAGGGCGGTGCTGGACCAACGTGAAACCACTAAACCCAGTCCCGCTTTCCTTCTATAGTCACAAGGCACCATTGTTTACGGCGCCAAACGAACTGGATTTCACTGAAGGGTCCTTTTGAACTTTCCCCATCCCCATCCAGTTCTGGTTTTTATTTACGTGAGATTCGATTTATGCCGACATTACCTTTGTTTTTTTTTTATTGTTTAAAAACCTTTTCTCTTTTTTTAAATGTATGTCTTGTTTTGATTAAGGCAGAAAGTTGTCAAAATGGCCATGCGCTGCTTTCCATCTAGCGGATCTTTCGCCCGCTAGAACTTTTCAGATGGAAAAAGGAGCAGTTAATGGTTTAATCGCCTTGGCACTGATGTCAGACCAGTTGGGCGGCGTTTGGTTTTATGTGACAGTCTTTCTGCGGGGAGAACAGATGAGGTCACGTTGGAAGGGAAGAGATGTTTTCCTGTGTAATATGACTTCTTATTAATAGCGAGGTTTTCCTCCTACTCGCAGTGAAAATGGTCCGTTTCCCCGTTCTGTGTTACAGAACCCGCAGTACAACAGCGTCACCACATATGTGATCTACGCGCACTTGCTGAGGCAGATTGCCTCTCTGACTGAAGCCGACCACCATTTCCTGGTGCACTGGTTTATAAAGTAAGCTATTTCATTCCTCTGCCATTACCTGGCTGCCAGATAGTTTATTCAGTACCCAGTAAAGGACGCTCATGGGATGAGCCAAGGTCGTTTTCAGAAATTATTAATCCCTTACTTATATGAAAAGCACAATGCTATTATTGCTGTTTCTGCATGTTCTACTGTTACATGCTTCTGCTTTTTAATGGCCACTGCCAGTAATGTAAACTGACATAACACTGCATTGTCGCCAGAGTGAAGCTTATATACGAAAGTCAATAACAGAACTCAGACTGATTGTGACCAGGTACAGACTCAGCAGAGATGCAGCATAGACTTGATACAAATTCAGTACTGACTGTGCGCAGACTGGTCACAGAATAGGTACAGATGCAGCACCGACCGTGTACACTCTGGGGGGGGGGGATTCTTATCTACAAAGGGTCAGTGTGTATGTAGGTTTTTGGGATAACCTTTAGGTCAGCTGTCCAAACTCAAGTGTGAGGACTGTTCAGCCATCTGGATAAGATTACCCACCCCTGATGTACACTACACAGTGTATTAAGTTGCACTGCAGAATGAATACAGATGCAAAACAGACTGGAGACAGACTTATCAGACTGGGTACAGATGCAGTACAGACAAGGTACAGGCACAGCACATACCAGATTCAGATGCAATACAGATCGGATTTAGATGCAGTACAGACACAGCACATACCAGATCCAGATGCAATATAGACTGGATACAGATGCAGTACAGACCGGGTACAGACACAGTACATACCAGGTCCAGATGCAGTACAGATTGGACACTGATACAGCACAGACCGGGTACAGACATAGTACATACCAAGTTCCGATACAGCACAGACCGGGTACTGACATGGTACATACCAGGTTCAGATGCAGCACAGACTGGGTACTGACATGGTACATACCAGGTTCAGATACAGCACAGACCGGGTACTGACATGGTACATACCAAGTTCAGATACAGCACAGACCGGGTACAGACGCAGCACGGACCGGGTACAGACCAAACACATGTTTACATCGCACCCCTTTCCTCCAGACTTTCCCAGCGCCGCTTCAGGCAGTTAGTGGAGCGCCTGCTGCACTTCATTTCCACGCGTCTGCTTCCGGCCCGGCCCGAGGAGCTGCCACCCATGACCAAGTGCTCCTGGTGGATTCCATCCGCCACCAAAGTCCTGGCTCTGCTGAGTGAGTGCCCCGTCACCCGGGGGCAGGTGGAGGAGGGGGATTCCCCACTGTATTACCTCCCAGAGATGCCCGCATTTACAAAAAGCATCAAGCTTGGTAGTGAAAGCAGCCTTCATTGTAATTGTTAGGCTTGGTCTAGGGGGTTGGCATCATGTGACTTGGCATCATGTGACTTGGCATCATGTGATCTGAATTATTGCTTCTGTGATGCATGAACGCATATGTGAGTCTAATCTAGCATTATATTAAAATCTGTGAATTTCTGAAGGCTGGAGGCAGCAGCGGCTCCTTTGTGGCAAACTCCATGGGACACAGGATGTTCTCGTGCGCATGATTAGTCCATTCAGGAAGCTCGCAGATTCAGAGCTATTTACTGAAGTGTCAGCAGGTGTGTTCCCTCTCTGCCAGATGCTTCCAATAGCATCGCTGCTCCCCCGATCATCCCCTTCGCTGACTTATACAACCTCACCCTGGACCACATTGACATCATGGAAGACTACCAGACCTGGCAGAGCCATGGGAGTTCAAGGTAAGGCAGGGGAAGCAGCTCCTCATGAATCTTACGGACGTCCCCTTGCATCGCATGGTTTGTCTAAAGCAGCACTTTGATATTGGTTATTACATTCGTCATCATTACGTAATGCCAACCGCCCTATCCCCTTTCAGAAACCAGGCACGTGCACCCCTCCCCCCCCCACACCACATAGATCTTCTCCAAAGAATCGAGAACTAGAGCTCCCCCTTGTGTTCGCTTTTCCTCATGGCTAGCAAATAGAGTCTAGGGCAAGTTCTCTTCAATCATCAGTCAGTTGTGAGCATGCTTCCTGCTGTCGTTCAGCATACTGTAAGGGATTTCATGTCCTGCTAATCCTACTTAATCCCAAAATATCACTTTGCGGCGTCGATAATATAGACCTACGGCGTGCAGTGTATTGGGTGTGGTTGTTTTTTATAAGTGCCCCGGCAGCGAGATGTTCCTGCAGCCTGTTTCCGCGCCCTGGCCTGGAGCGGCAGGGTGCCCATGCCTTTAAAGCGACGTAAGACCTGCGGTGGACAGAGTCACGTGACTGGGAGCACTGGAGGCAAACACAGGGATGTTGAGTCAGGATGGGTGTGGGGAGTGACGAGAGTAACTGGGAAAAGGAAATAAAGGGGAGCATTTTGTGTAGAAGCGTGGGGGTCGTAGAAGGGCTGCATCTGTCTGCTTTTTACGGGTGTGGAGGAAAAAAAATCTGTGAACCCCTATGGTCACCTGACCTGCATGGAGGCTTTGCCATGACTGAACCTTGGCGTTCTGTTCCTGCCATGCTGTGACTTGGATGGTAAAGGTGACCCTTGGGGCTGATGTCTGTACTTAAGTGGCACTGAAATGAGACTTTAGAAACATACTCTGGGCTTTGTATTGCATGTGTGCTGGGCACTGTTCACGCTGGTGCTGTATTTGCCGGAAGTGCGATTAGTCAAAAATAAATGTTCTTGGGCCGTATTAGCAGGCATGTAAACAGGAAATGGGGCGACGAAGGCGACGCTGTGTCTGCCTGCCCTTTCTGCGCTGCTCTGTGTGAATAATTGATGTATAATTTTTTTCTGTCCATTTCTCAGGTTTTCATTTTGCCAGTTTCCTTTCATCCTGTCAATAGTGACGAAGAAAAACATCATCCAGAGGGACTCGGAGCAGCAGATGATCAGCATGGCCAGGGTGAGGAGATGTGTCTTGACCCCTGACCCCTGGCCATTCGGTGGTTTGATCCCTCCCCAGTGGAGCCTGGGAGATACAGCACACACATTTCTATGGGTGCATCATTTTGAAGCAGTTTGGTACTGACATTGTCATAACACATATTGCTCACAGAAAGTCTTGTGTCGCTTGTTTAATTCTGTAAAAATGTTTCAAATGTATTGGTTTCATAGCAAAAGTCCATTGACATGCAATACTTAACACATCTGCACAGACACTTTCTTTTTATTAAGTGTTATAGTTTTTTGACTGACTCATTCAATTCTGTTCTTGCCATTTTGCTCTTAATTGCAATTTTAGTCATTGGCTCCCAAAGGGAGACTAAACATAAATGTTTGGTGTCTTATGTTACTGTAAAGGTGTCATTGATTAAGAGGTTCTCAATGATGCTTGTGAAGGAACTTCACAGCTCAGAATAACACTTTTAGAACTGTAATTTGGGTTTCAGTTTATTACTTGAAATGTTTTATGTAAAACTTTTGGCCTCTTCTAATGTGATATATATATTTTGTAAACTAATGGTACTAAAGTAATGTTTTTTTGTTAGTAAATCCAATTAACTTGCAATCTTTTTACTGAATTAAGCAGGTGTCCTAAGACTTTCCGTGAGCACCGTAAATTATGTAAAAGAAGCCACATTGCACTTTACTTACCTTAATTTTTGTACCCTAACATACAGTTTAATTATACAGCTATTAGATTGCTCTATGGTGGTGTTCTGAGTGGCGTTTTTACGGAAATACAAGCATAACCGGTAATAACTGAATTTATTACAGCAAAGCCTTGTGGACAAAGTCTCGCGCAGGCAAAGAGTCGACATGAGCTTGCTCTTCCTCAACATCAACGTCCGTCGGCAGCAGCTGCTCAGTGATTCGCTGAATGAGGTAATAGCCAGAGCCCTCCCCGCATCCCCTGCTCACCACGTGTCATTCGAATTCCCAGCAAACAAAGCGAAACTTGTTGCAGACCGTTATACCGTTTCGGTTGTTTCCTTTTTTGGGAAATGCATGCCGCAGGTATTTAGATGCGTGTTTTCCAGTGGTGAGGCCATCTGTGTGACGTTAGTCGTACTGTCCCGCTTTCCTTCTCCCGCACAGCTTACTAGAAAGCGAGCAGACCTCAAAAAGAAGCTGAAGGTGACTTTTGTGGGGGAGGCCGGTTTGGACATGGGGGGGCTCACCAAAGAATGGTTCCTGCTTCTGATCCGGCAGATTTTCCACACAGACTACGGTGAGACAGATGTCATCAATACAGGCCTGGTTCAAAGTGGGCGGGGCTTACATCTAAATTCATATATGATACAAATAAAACTTAATATATTGTTCTGACAATAGTTATCTGTTGTCAGAATTACTGACTGAGCATACTGTAAGAGTAATAATAATAATAATAGTTTTATTGATATAGGATGTTTCCTGCATCTGAATGCAGCTCAAAGTGCTTTACTGATAAACAACAATAAAAACAATAAAAGCAGAAATAAAACCGAATCAAGATAATAAAATAAGAACACAATCAAACATTAATAAATCATATTAAGATAAGGTAAAAATAAAAATACATGAATATAGCGTAGTGAAAACAGTAATTTGTCATTTTAAAACACTTTTAAAAAATTACAAATTACAAGTTTGCACCCAGAGTCAAGCTTTTATAGAGACATTTCAGCTCTATAAAAGTGTAAACTATATAAATTAACCTTTTTAAACAACTCTTGTAATTGATTTGAATCGCGTTGTGTGCCTCTGTGTGTGGTGTGATTATGGGAGGGGGGGGATTTGCTTTTTGGCTCGGGTCCCATTCTTGTCCGTGGGAATTTTTAGTCAGTGCATCTGCTTGTTGCTGTGATTCATATCTTTGGGCACATTTGTTTAATGGACATCATTCTTTTTTATTTGACTGCAGGCATGTTTACGTACTTTAAGAATTCCCACTGCCATTGGTTCAGCAGCTGGAAGTGCGATAACTATTCGGAATTCCGGTTGGTCGGAGTTGTATCCTTTTTCTCTCTGCCGTGTACAGACATGTGTGAAGGCTCATGCTTGAGTGACTTATCAACGACTTAGACCGACTTACTATATATTCATCCCATATAAGTGGTACATACCCACAATGTACTTTGGTAGTTAAATAGAATCTGTCTGTGACATTCTCTGTATGTGAACAAACCATGCTCATTCCGTAGTTCTATTGTGATCACTCAGAATGCATGTATATTTTTGCATGTTAAATATGAAATAAAGTCAATCCATCTCATTAATTCCAGTACAATGTAGCAATGAACCTGGACCCTAGGAAATGTGGTTCATGAGGCTGGGGACCCCCTGGAAGGGATGCCAGTCCATTTAAGCTCTGCATGTATATCATCTGATTTGGGGTTCAAACTCCCCACCCTGTAGCTGTGAGGTGTCTGTGTCACCCAGTTAAATTTCACATCACATAATTTTAAGGGCCTGCCAGTCATCTTAAATGCTGCTAGATGAGGTTAAAATTTCAGTGGAAATTTCCCAAATATTAGTCTGAATATTTGCCTTTGTGAATAAACCATAATGGCCATATTGAGTAATAGTAAGATTAGGATATTAAATTTCCCCAGCTGTCTTGCTAAACTACGATGGTTAGCACGCACGTTACATCTGGAAAGGCGTTTTCATCTAAGCAGAAGTGCTGCTTAAATAATAGGCTGAAACGTGGCTCAGTACTCTGTGCAGTGTGATCTCGGTACGTCCAGGCAGAACTAGCTGACTCTCTGATCTCGTTAATCCCTGGCCAGTCTAGAGTGCTGGCGGCTCGACAGCAATCCCCTTCAAATGAAACCCAGACAGTCTCTTATATTGGCAGCATTTTTTTTCAGATATGGCACATTCCTTGGTCCCGCCATAAGGATTAGCCGTGCTTTTTGGTAGCAGAATAAGCAGATGCGTTTAAAATATCAAGCTACATCTCTTAACTTTTCATTTTTTTTTTTATTTGTAATGACAGTTTCAAACTGACGCATATTACAAAGCTTTCCTGGGACTGTGCCAAAGCGTGCACGTGGCACTGGTCTGCGTAGCGGATGACTCTGTCACCCCCTGCTGGCCATTGGGGAAAGTCATGGTCAAGGTGGGCTCTGTCCTAACATTACCCAGCTAATTAGCCCCTCGGGTGACGTTGCTCTGGCCGCGAGATCGCCGCCCCTCAGCTCAGTCAGACACGTTACGGAAAACGTGCCAGCGTCTGACTCTAACTTCACTCCATCACACATGTGGCTCGGATTACGCCGCGAGCCGGCCTCTGCTTTTCTCGCACCTTATTGGTTGACATTCTTCAGGCCTGGTCCTCGCATCACCCCCCGATTTGGAGGAATTTTTCAGGCTGTCTGTTGCACTATCGGCTAACGTGTGTCTCCGCACCTGTCTGGCTCGGCCTCCGGTAGAAAGTTCCGACTTCTAGCGCAGCGGTCACATATGGGTGACATATGGCGGGTTTGAACCCGGTGTGGCCGGCGCCGTTGGCCACGTTATTTTCCAGTTACAGGGAGTTCACGCGCTAAATATACAGTAGCAGTGTAAGAAAAATCACTTTCCATTAAATTTATGTACAAACTGCAATACAGCATTTGCATTTGTGATGTTGGCTGTTGCTGCAGGAGCTACTGGATAATGGAAAATTGCACAGGAATGGTTTTGCATTAAAAAGCAATATGGAGAGGATTAACGCAGACCGCATCTTAATTACGCTAATCTCCAAAGGACATAATCCCCACAGCCTGCCCAGTTCAGGTGATTCCTCCACCCCTTGACTCCCCATCCTAGCTGATGGGCCTGGCCGTGTACAACAGCATCACCCTGGACATCCGCTTCCCCCCGTGCTGCTACAAGAAGCTGCTGACGCCGCCCGTCGTGCCGTGTGACCAGAACGCTCCCGTCGGCATGGCGACCCTCACCCTGGACGACTTGCGGCAGGTCATGCCGGTATGTACGCCAGCCATGTTTTGAGTGTGACCTCAGTTCACTACTTGTTTTTAAATTCCATTTTCTTCACAAAAGGCAATTGCATTTGATTTGATTTATGAATTTTATGATGAACGTTGACAGTTTGTCCTACCCTATTAATAATGATCAAAGGAACCATGTCAAACATAGCAATGAAAATCATTTTGACAGATAATGCAACGGCTTTGCCGGATAATCGCATGGCTCCTGGGAGTAAGCTAACTGGTATTACCTATTTTAAGGACATGCGTAGCCCCTTAGGCCTAAGCCTGTCCTCGCTAGCCTGTCTTTCTTCTCTCTTGCTCTCGGCTATGACAGCTGTGTTTAAACTTTGTTTACCCAGCTACACTTGAGAGTGCGAGAAATGTCCGGTGAATACACTGCAGTGTGGATCTTCAGAAATGTTTATTTGATTTCACACATTTTGCTATTCACATGTATGAAAGTAAACATTTTTGTTTAATCATTAAAAAAATAAAGCAAAATTTATATGTGGTTACTATATCAATATTTTTCAAGCCAGTTATATAACTTACCTCATTGGTACGTCTATCTCAGTGCTGATTCAAGGATATGGCATTAAAACCAGTTTTATAGCTTACAACGATTGTTTTTAATATTTAGGTCATTAGCTTGTAACTATGATGTTAAGTGTAGAGCAGATCTGTGTCTTGTAATGACTAAAACGTGGTTAATGAAGATGCTGGAAAGCGAAGTGAATTCTCCAGCCTAAGTGTTGCTCTGATGTAATCCAGACCCCATCTTCATAAGCTGTTCTTTTCCCTTCCAGTAGAGGGCGATCCATGTCAACTTTTTTTTTTTTCTCTCTTCTGCTTGGCTTTCTAAGCAGGATCTTCTATGTCCAGCCAAAACGTAAAGTGCAAAGTCATTTGATGCATTTTTTTAAAAAAGGACCCTGACTGGGCTCAGACGTTGGGAAAATGTAGTCAGTCGATCTGCAGTTTGTGGGTTTAAAAAAGGCCATCTGATCTTGTGTGTTGATGCAGGACTTTGCATGTGTAGCCAGATGTCTTGTGTTGAGGCGCAGTTGGCTAACCTCCGACTTATATAACTAGGCGTAGTTTGTTTTCTTTTTTAAAGCTATTTCTAGAGTAATGGGCAGGATCAGGCCCGTGGGGCTGCCCAGAAACAATGTGAATGAGGTTCAATGTGGTGAAATGCAATTAAACTTTTACTGTTTGGGTTTTAATTGATCGAGCGTAATGTAAATCACTAACAGGATCTATTATTGCTGACAAATGAAATCCTGAGAACCAGTTGTAGTTGTTTACAGTTCTTTGTAACCTTTATAACCTGCATGGGAAAGAAAACATTTTTTGAACATTGATTTCTGGCTGTTTATGAAACGGAAAGCATACAGCTTCTTTTGTGTCATGAATGCCATGTGTGATAGTTAAAATGCTGTGCTGTAGGACCTCGCTCACGGATTGGAGGAGCTTCTCAGGTACGAGGGGAACGTAGAAGAGGATTTCTGTGCCACTTTTCAGGTGGGGACCGGGAGGCACGATGATCCGTAGAGATACATGGCAGTGGGATTTGCAGTGGCGTAGATGCAATAAAACGGAAGCGTCTCACAGCACTTCAATAATGAAAGGAATTACTAACCATTATTGTTATGATGATTGTGATTATTTGGGCCTCGCATTGTGTAAAGTAAATAAACTGGATTGAAATGCAGGTCAAATAAAAAAAAAAAGCTTTATTATGGACAAACTGACCCATTGAGCTGAATTCCATAAGGCCATATCATCTTGTAAAAGTGCAGGCACTTGCTCGCTCATCATTCTGGACTGAATAATGTGCCTGAATATGAATAAGCTGTTTAAATGACATTTGGAAGAGAACACCTTTTAAACCTTGCAACTAACCCAGCACATTTCACACACAGCCATTTCACTGACTTGCGTAAAAACGTGAAAACCTTAAATCACATTCCCCGTCAAACCTTGATTGTGGCAGTTACTGCAGAACTTAGCGGTATAAGAGTCTAGCATTGTTTTCAGCACTGTGAGTTCAGGTAAGCGAGCCTTTCCTGCTTGTATGTTTTTTTCTCCAGGTTTTCCAGGAAGAGCTTGGCGTTGTGAAGTCCTACAATCTCAGGCCTGGTGGTGACAAGATTGCCGTCACAAACCAGAACAGAAGGGGTGAGAGACCGACTGTTTCAAATGCCAGGTTGCATTTATCTTCCCCGGCTGCCTGGTGTTGATTGTCACCTGTCTCGTTTGCAGAATATGTCCAGCTCTATGTCGATTTCCTCCTGAACAAGTCAATCTACAAGCAGTTTGCGGCCTTCTACTACGGATTCCACAGTGTTTGTGCCTCAAATGCATTAATGGTGAGCCTGGAAGAGTGTTCTTTCTCCTCTCTGACAAAATTTTGGTTTAACAGCCGGTTTCGCAAAGCCAATATCCTGCCCGTTCGTTCGGGATCTGTGGGAGCCGCAGTAGCGGGATTGTTTTCTTTTTTTAAGCTATTTAGAGAAGGCAGAGGGCTGGAAGATTCCAGAGAAAGTGCCATGGAGATCGGAGGATCCTTCAAGTTTGCGAGGGGGTGTCGGTGTGAAATTTGCAGTGTTGCCCCTTGTAAAAGTCCATCCTTCCGCTCATTCTCTTTCTGGGGGCTTTTTCGCGCGAGGATTTTTGTGAGGGCACTACTGCGGCTGACCCACTTCACTGTACAGTTTCTAGGTAACTGGGTCAACGAGTAAGAAGCCTATGGAAGATGTATGTTCCGTGAGACCCACACCGAATCTTAATGAAACCGTACACAAAGGACCTCTGTGCCTATATGTAAGCGGTCGCTGGGGCAGCTTCAGAAGAAAACGTTGTAAAAGTCTTTTTAAGTCTTCAGTCATCTGTCTCGTATAATCTAGGCTACACAGTGATGTTCGGCACAGAACCAGAACAAGAGTCACTGGTTGTTAGCACTGGTAATGCAGTGCGTTATGTTGCAAAAAGCAACACCAGAGTAAAAGTAATATGGTGTTATAATATTATGCATCCCCTCCTCCTCCTGCTCAAATTCCCATCAGCTTTTTGGAGCCACTGAAGTGCAGAAAGATATGCATTCCATTACCTTTTTAGTATGCGTCAGTAGATGCCCGCCAGTTATTTTAAAATTTCCTAATAGCGGTGGGTCACCGCTTTCTGCTGTGCGTCTGAATTTGGTCACGCCTCGAAGATCTTCTTGTGGACGATTTTAGCAGTTACTTTGCGATGTGGCTGCTTCGAATTTATGTCCAGTTCATTGCCGCTTTATTTCCTGCGCATTACTGCTTGTAATGTGCCCTTGTCGTAAAACTGCAAACAAGAAGAAAAAAAAGAAATGTGCCGGAATCTTCTAGAAGGACGCCGATTTCTGGCACAAACTGGGGGTTCTGGCAGCAGTCTGCTCACTTTGGGATGACTCCAGAGCAAATGTAACCAGTTTAGCAGTTTCTGCAGCTTAGTGTACCCCACTGCCTTAACCGCAGTATAAAATACAGGTTCGAAAATTACATGTTACAGCAAGAGCATTTTAGCATTGCCAAAACTTGCTTTCATATTAATGGAGCAGTACTGAACTGCAGATTTCTGTATTAATGAACATAACATTGTTAAATTTAAATGTATTATAAATCATTTGACACATTTATACTATGTAACATTGCAGTTGCAAGTCAGCTTTTATATTTCAGCATATTGTGCTCCATTGCTATATGTCCTGGTTTTCTGTTTTCACTCTCCTGACCAGTTTGATTCCATGTCTGGTTTAGCATCCCAACTACCATTTATTTGCTATTAGTCAGGCGTCTGTCATGAAAGATGTATTGTAGATCTTTCCCGGATTCCGTAACTTCGTAACTCATCTCAGGAGGTGTGGCGGATGGGTTTCGACAGTGTCGAGTTTTTGTCGTATGAGTGTGATCTTTTATACAAGCATTATTGCCTCATTTGGCCCATTCTTATCCATTGTAGACATGCAGCCATCAAAATAATGGACCTTTGTTTTCAACAAGACTGTTAGGCGTCGTCAGCTGATTGTGACCAAGCAGAATGATGTTACTTTTTTCACTTTTTAAAGAACTACACCTTGTAAAAGACAAAAAAAAAAAGATAAAATTTGTCTGATACATTGTTTCTTAGCCTGATAATGGCTTCTGCCCAAAATAGTTTGCATAGCTTACATCTTATTACATTTTAAAAATTGATTTAGGATGACATTTTCACTCCGGCATTCATTAAAGGTACAACAGCAGGGCCCTGCTACGATAAGAACTGGTTCAACCCTTAACTACTGTCCTGCCCAGTGCTAGAGGAGATGTGGCTGGGGGGCAGTATGTGGCTGAGTGTGTTAGGATACTGTGCTTGTGATCGGAAGGTCACCGGTTCAAATCTCTGAACTGACAGTAATTTCACTGTCAACCTTTTACTCCCAATTGCTCCAGGGACTGTCTGACCCTGTTTTCTTAAAGATATATGTCGCTCACGATAAAAGCATTTGGTAAATGAATTAAGAGTACTAAAAGTGACAATGGAGAAATTTAGCTTCAGAACCTCATTGAAAGAGGGTGCGTTTTCACAAAGGTCTGGATGCACCAGATTCGTTTAGTGAGACAATCGTAATAAACTGGCTGTAGATATATTGAGTCGAACCCCACTGACTCCCAGACGACGCCGAAGCCGCGAAATGCTCAAACGACAGGATGCAGGGAATGATGACCTTTCCTGTTCCGCAGCTGCTGAGGCCAGAAGAGGTGGAGATACTGGTGTGCGGCAATCCCGAGCTGGACATTAGCGCCCTGCAGAAGGTCACGCAGTACGAAGGCTACAGCAAGAACGACCCCACCGTGCGGTTAGTGCTGCCTTGGTCAATGGTGTGAAGCTCTTGCTCTGATGCTGCATAGACCTATACCTGCGCGTTTATTGGAAGCTCAGGACAGCCGTGATAATTCCTAGCGGACTCTTCGATGGCTATATGTTGGTAATTTGCCGCACTTGCACTTCGCTTTGGACAAAATCGTCTGCTAAATGAATGTAAATGTGAAAATTGTCACGCCCCGCTCCGTCCGCTCCCGATGTGTGCCACGCCCACCTCATTACCTCCTGTTTCGCCCTAAGTGTTCCCACCTGTAGCTCGTTCTCTGTTACCTAGTCTTGTGTATTTAGTCCGAGTCTCAGTCTGTATTCCCCAGATCTGTCATTGTGTAGTGTCCGTTGATGTCGGTGCTTGTGCGTCTGCTTGCTATTAAACCCCGTTACCCTGACTACCTGGCTACGCTCGCCTGCTTCCTACTCACCCAACCCGCGAGCGTGACAAAAATGTAGGCGTTCATTGACGCTCTCGTTTGCCGTGACGACACTTCCGGCGTGCGCTCCGATCACCATCGGTGATTCGCGGCTGACGCTCACTGTCCTTACAGCTGCTTCTGGGACGTGGTCCTGGGATTCCCGCCGGAGCTGCAGAAGCGGCTGCTTCACTTCTCTACGGGGAGCGACAGGGTCCCAGTGGGAGGGATGGCTGACCTCAACTTTAAAATAGCAAAGATTGAAGTTCCTTCTGACTGGTAATACGACCGGCTCCACTCTTACCAGGGTTGCCAGCTTTGGTCAGCTGGCTGGAGTGAGACTCTCAATTCGATACAAGTCTGCACATACATGCACATGCATTTACATGTATATAACAATTTTATTAGCTTATAAATAGTCTGTAGGGCTTGCAGGCTACCCCAACACTTTTGATGTAGCTAATTTTAGGTTTATAATGGATTAATATAGATTTGCCGTAGGATTTCTTGCACGAGCATCCAAATATGTATCTAATAGCAATATTATAATATATTGTAAAGTATATACTCTTCATTCTCTAATTTTGCTGTATTGTAAAAAAAATCTTTTTATGCATTAGTGAGATTTTATTTATATATCTAAACATTATTACGCACGCAAATATTAACCATGCAGTGATGACACCCTACAAAGTTAGTTGATTGTTTTCCTCTTCTCCAGGTTACCAGTATCCCATACATGTTTCAACCAGCTCTGTCTACCGCCCTATAAGAGCAAGAAGGAACTGAAGCTGAAGCTGACAATCGCCATTTCAAATGCTGAAGGATTTGGCTTGGAGTGACTTTGGACTGTGGACCACACCTTCGACAAAGAGATCGTTTAATGACTTCTGCTTAGAGGCACGATTATAGCGAACACAGTTGTGTTTGTGGGTGTTGTTTTTTTCTAAGTTATTGAATCTGGCTTGTTTTGTTGGGAGATTGTAGAATTACCCCAGATGCACTCTGTTTGGAAACTCCAGGTGCACTTTTATTAACACATACATATACTGCTTGTTGGCCGATGGCTCTCGGTTCTTCCAGCAGCATGTCGTATTTTATTTGGAATCGCTTTCCTACGATATTTATCTGTATCCTTCCAGTTTATAACGTGGGTTCCGATGTGTTTTCCTAGCGTGTGTCCAAATTGCAGGATGTAATGACTGGACTGGATTACTGGAAATGCTTAGTATGAAAATGGTTGCTTTATAAACAGCTGTTGGTCGTTTGCACCCATTTTTTGCCTTAACTTTAAAATGTGTGATGAAAAGGATTGACCAGATGTGACCTTATTCACTCGAAAAAAAAAATTATCATAGAAATTTAGATTGTTCTGCATTGTTATGTATATTAATGGATAAATTGTCTTGAACCATCTGGATGGTTAATCAGGGAAATGCACACGAGCTGTTTTCGTTCACTTTTAAGTCAAAAAAGTTTCGTGATGTAACCTCAGTGGCTTGTTTTCAGCACTTAGGCCTGCTTGACCAAACACGACTGAAGCTCATCTTGCAGGATAATCACCTTGATGTTACCGCGAGACCAAGAATAATATTACTTTATTTTTATGACAGGTTTTCATACTGAGATCCCAGTGTGTATCGCTGCTGTACCTGTTTATTTATAAGTGCTGCTTGCCTTCTGGATTTTTCCTGTAAGTAGCATTTTGACAAGGCATTTATGGGTTTGGTTGTTAAAACCTGAGACCTATGCTGCATATTAAGTTTGTTTGTAAAGTTTTGATGGGGTGGAAGGATTGGCTTTTTTCTGGTTAGTGTAGAAGAGGTTGTCGAGAGTATTCGAAGAGAATGCTGGACCATCTTGACAGAGATTTTAAAACATGAGAGCTGTTGCCCTGATCTTGTGGCATCTCGAGCCGACGAAGTCTTCAAAAGGAACGACACGGGAGCGCTGAACAAGCCGGAGCACTCGTTGGGCTGTGGAGGGTTTTTCTGACGTTCCCCATGAGACGCTGAAGGTGCAGATAGTGCAGACTCCTCCTTTGTGTATTTCTGAGTAGATGAGTATCTCATGAAGCTGTGTTTCCCAGTCTGGCCCTCGGGGGCCACCAGAGTGTTCACATCATTTTTGCTCCCTTCCAGCTCCTGCTAGGAGAATTTGACTGTGGACTGTCTAGCAGGAAGTTGGGAGGGAGCAAAAACGTGAACCACACAGAGAAAGTGCCGACTGCTTTGGTAAAAAAAATAAAGAAAATTATATATATACTGTATATATATGTATATATATATATATATATATATATATATATAAACGTTGAACTCCTGGTGAGAATATAATGTTTAAGTATTGATTCATAGTTGTATTTTGGCAAATTTAGATGTATTGTTATTTGGATGTTGTGTTTGTGGAAATTAAAGGTTTACCTGTAATGCAATTTCAATGCAGTACGTAACACATTCCGTTGTGCCTTTCTTGAAATGTATACACAGTATGTTACAGTCCTATCTTTCTACATCCATCCATCTTTCAACCACTTGCCCAGTGAAGGATCACAGAGGTCTCTGTACATGACTGGACGAAATTTGCAATGGAGTGTAACCTCGTGGGGTTTGCTGTGAGCGTCCTCTACGGCTGTGGGACAACACAACCAAAGTGAAGGAAGCACAACTTTCATTTTTCCTCCAGGTATCTTATAAGAACATGAGAAATTTACAAACGAAAGGAGGCCCTTCAGCCCATCAAGCTCATTTGGGGGGAACTAATAGCTCAGATGTTAAAATCATATCTATTTATAGGAACCCAGGGTTTTAGCTTGCGCTACACTAACAGGAAAATTATTCCATACTCTTAACTACACGCTGTGTAAAGAAGTGTTTTCTCGAATTCATTTTAAAATGTTCTCCCGCTAATTTCCACTTATGGCCACGAGTTCTAGTATTTAAACTAACATTGAAGTAGCCATTTGGCTGAACAGCATCCAGACCAGTTAGAATCGTATATACCTTATGTATATCTTATATACCTTATATATATCTTGGCAAACGGCCCCTAAGCAGTGGCAGGTGTTTTGGTGGACCTGCCTAAATCTGTCCTTCAGATGATACATAAAAGCAAGCTCCTGACTCTGATCTTATAAAAGATTAAATTCAATTTATAATTTATATAGTGCCTTTCAAAACAGTTGGCCCAAGGTGCTTTACATGGGTGCATTGTGATACATCTTCATTTAGAAAGAGCATTACAAAACAGGGATTAAGGAAAGACAAAGAAATGAGAGAAAGACGTCCAGATGACAGTGGAGGAGAGGAACCAAAAACCTCTGGGGGTCCAAGGTCACCTGACTGCCCCACCCCCTCCAGGCATGGAGATGGAGACCATCCTGTTTATAGGCTGTTATCAGGTCAAGTCAAAGTCCATCAGTGAGTCTGTTCTCCACGCCGGCCTGTGTAGGGTGGCAGGTTGAAGGCTGCACCCACGATGCTGCAGTTTATAGGTCACATCCACGATGTCACCCTTCCGTGGGACTGAACCAGGACTCCAGCTCAGATGGTGCCTGGGCAGCTTTCAAATGTCCTGCTTAAAACTGCCCACTGTGCTCCTTTCAAATCTGGCCTCCTAATCATCTCTTGTATCTAATCGGTAAATTCTCTCCTGCCTCTCCTCCACCTTAGCTCCAGTGCAGTGAGCGTACTGGCGCAGAATGGATGCTGTCGCATCATCCAACTGGGTGCTACACAGTGGTGGTTGTTGAAGTGGCTCCCCGTTGATTCTGTGAAGCACTTTGGGCGTCTTGCAAAGTGCTATATAAATGTAACATTCATAAATGCCAGACACCGGATTTCCATGTCGCGCACTCTGCTCAGTCTCTGAACGACACGCCCCTTAAGCCACAAGCTCTACACCCGCGGCAAACCACCGAATGACATTATTATGACATCTTGGCAACCAGCTGTAATCAAAGTTCAAATGCTGTAGATAGAGTCACTTCTTTTTGGGGAAAGAGCACAGGTTATCTGAAGCTTATCAGAGTAACCACAGGTACCGAGCAATGCCGCTGTAAAAACAGACATCACGCAGTGCATGGAGGACGTCTCTGACTCAAACTTTTCAGAGAAGCACTGCAAGCATACAGGCCTGCAAGATGGTAGTGCAGATGTAATGTTAGCTTTCCACAGCTTGCTTCTCATTAAAATTATATATATATATATATGCGCAGTGAACATGTTTATTCAGGGTCCCATTGTATCTTTCACCACTGCACATAAGGTATTACGAGGGGAAGGCATGGAGTAGGCAGGAAATGAGGCTGACGATCCACATACGGCTCCAAGACAAAACGATTTATTAAACAAAACTGAACAGCAAGGGGCAAACCACAAAACAAAAGGACCACAATGGAGTCAAAAGCAAACGAGAGAAACAAGAACTAACTACATAAATATAAAAAGGTAACAACTAGGGGAAAGAGTAACACAGGGGGCAGAACTAGGAAAACCAAACAGAGTGACAACACACAGTAACTTGAACAATGACTGACTGATGGGTAGAACAAAGGCAGGCACTAAACTTCACTGATCACAATGACAAACAAGGGGCAGGTGTGTATACAGAACCAGGGGCAGCGAGTAGCAGATAAAGACATTCAAATGATCATTAAGGGCACGGGGCAACAAGGCACAGGTGGGGTAGTACAATTAACAGGTACTGAGAGGTCAATTAACAGATAGGGAGAAAAGGACCAAACACTATGGGAAACAAAACTAGGACAACCGAATGAACGGGAAACTAGGAGCAAGACAATGAACTGAAATACCTATGCAAACGTTAAACCAAGAGGATGAAAAAAACAACAGACATTAATTAGATTGGTCTCTGGCCGGCCTCAAACCCACAATCACAACAAGAGAGCTGTGAACAGGTGGCCAACCATTCAGTCAGTTAAGCCGCACATAGGCCCAGGTAAGAGGCAAACACACTAGGGACAAAGGGGCTACAACACAGAGGAGGGAACAGGATGGCCAGCGACACCTGCTGGCTAAACAGGAACAAGACACAAAGGACAGGACCAGACTGGCACCGATCCTGACAATAAGGTTTCTTCTTCCGGTTTTGGTATTGGATGTTTCCTCACACACATTTGTTTCCCAACCTGCTCCTCCGGGACCCGCAGACATTTTTGCTCCCTCCCACTGCTCTATAGGGTTGGTGAGCATTCATGGTATCTTTAAATAGCTCAGCCCCTGTTTCCAGAGAAGTCTCAGCATCTATGCAATACCTCAGTTGGTTGGTTACTTCCCAGTGTTGGTCTCTGCCTGTGGCTGGACTTTGAAGCAGAGGGATGCATGTGAAGCTACATTTCGAAACACAATATGTCTGTGACTGACCCAGGAAACTTCAATTCTTCAGTGAAGGGAAAGGCCAAACTCGTACACAAAACCCTGGGTAAAAATATGGCCAATGCATTACATTTGGGCCATGAGGAGCCTCTGAGGCTGATCTGGAGCTACCTTCCCCTTGGACAAGTTGAACAAAACGGCCCTGCATCACCCCTGCTGTGTGTAGTAAAGACCCAGTACACGCCAGCGTTGCCACCGTTCAGAGACCCCTCCTGTAAGCTGATTTTCAGACCTGCAGCCCAGAAGGGTGAGCAGGAGCTGTCAGAAAGCCCCCTCCCCCCCCAGGTGTAAACTGGCCTCCTGTGGATCCCTTCTTACAGAGTCAGAGGGCTGCCGGTAAGATGGTGCCCAGTTGCCGTGTGGAGACGTGCGTTAACCGCTGTGGCATTTTCACGCAGGGCCGTGTGTTCAGCTAGCACTCGACACCTCGTGCATTTTCTGTTGCTGCCAGCACAGGCGAGGTGAGTGTGCAAGCGGCACAAGACTGCTGCTGGACTTCAGCCACAGGAACCCGACACCTTCCTCTTATAGGTCAAATGTATTATGTTATAATCTGAGTGGCATAAACCACTCTGTTGGTGGGCAGGCGACCCGGCCGGGGTTTTTGGTGAAGTACGTGACTGGAGGAGGTAGCTGGCTATTTTCCACGGTGGGGGGGGGTGTGGGGGTTGGCCCGATGCCGAGTGAGACAAGGGTGTAGCAGTGGGGCGGCAGAGCGAGGCTGCTGATAAAGCGAGAGCAGCAGGTGAGTCTTGTGTGCTTTGGCTCCGCACGCTACGGTTGGCGTGGTGGGGAGAGTGATCACGGTGGAACTGCGCGTAACGTATCAGCCGGGCAGACATCGTGTTCCCAACGCCAAACAAACCGAGAGGTAAATGAACGATGCACCCAGCTGACACCGACATCCGTCTCCATGACCGACTGGCCTTCAGACCTGACAAATTTTGCTCCAGGCCTTTCCAGCCATGCCTAGCCGCCGCTCTCCTGCCGACAGCGATCATTCAGCCCGGTGCTGGCCGTCATGGTGAATCTGTTTGACTGCCTGGCGGAAGAGAATCCCTTTGCCGTGTGGTCAACTTCAAACAGAACAAGCCTGTCTCAGTACTGTGCAAAGCATCTTTACTTACAAAACTGCTTATATATAACTGCTTATATATATATATATATATATATATATGTGTGTGTGTGTGTAGATCATGCATATATTATAAATAAAAGTGAATATTGCTGGTCTGCATGTAGGTCATCCCAGAAATGTGGCCTTATTATGATGACAGCGTTCATTTAACATTGTCTTCGCTCAGGAGTACCCTAGTACTTATCCAGCAGCTTCAGTTTTCTTGGAAAGAAGCATGAGATTTAAACGTTCCAGGTAGACTATATTTGACTGCAACAGTAGGGCTCTTCAGTTCCAGGAGGGACGCTTTGTTTAGTCGATAACCTCACGGGATGCATATAAACTCTTTTCCTTTATGAAATGCCAGTCATGAAGATTCCAGGCATAACGTCCTAATTGCAGACTTGTGTTGCAGAGGTAAACCGTGGTTTGCTAGGCCTGATGTTTTGCTTACTTCACACGCTCCCAGCCTGTTCGGGTATTGACTCCCAAATGTTTACAGCTTACGAACAGCGGAACACCCTAATAGTCGTCTCTGTGACAGATCAGGGAGAGCATTTTCCTTATTTGATATTTGTATATAAACATTTACTGATATGCCCTTAGCATTACTGTACAGTGCCTTTGGCTGCTCATTCATTTACTGTCAGCTGTGACTCAGCCTGGTGTTACCGTTATATCTGCGGTACTTACAGGAAGACAAAAACTCGCAATGAAGTGGCGATTTGTATGCCCCTTCAGCTTGTTTTTCAGCATGGGGTTGAGTCTCGAGTTCCCATCCTGAAAGAGGCTGGAAAAGTTGAATCCAGCTCTTGGCAGTGGTCTGAGGTCTGGCATCCGGCTCAGATCCAGCCGGAGGAGTCGTTTGGCAGCAGAGTCCATGCCAGAGAAC